CGCACGTATGCATATCCGTGTGCGTGTGTGTGTGTGTGTGTGTGTGTGTGTGTGTGTGTGTGTGTATTTACTCATGAAAAAACGGACTGCAAGTTTCCAATATTTTTAAATAGCAATAATTCAGAAAAAGGTTATTGTATCAAAATAAATCGAAGATCAAATTAAAGTTTGATCTCTTCTTTTGATAATCAAAAAAGTAAGTTGGGTTACATAAAATATTTTAAAAGTTATTATAAGCAAATGTTGAACATAGATCTCAAAAATGGGAAAATCTTTTTCTCTTTTAAATTCGTTCATATGTTGCTTAAACATTGATTGATTCATACAAAAATATATCTCATTTATTACTTAACAAATTCATTAGTTAAACATTTATCTACGACTTTTTAGTAAAGTTATACTATTTTTTTAAAAATATTACAAAATTGATAACTTGACGAAAATAATGAACACATAAAGTAATAAGACAGATCAATTACTTGGGGTTAATTAAAATAAGATACTTTGTATACATTAATTAAAAAAATATTTGGTAATAACAATATTACTTTTTGTGGGCAAATAAAGTCATTTATTCTGAATAGAAAAGTTTTTTATCATTTTAAGTGTTAAGTGGTTTTCGCAATAATTAATGAGTAATTAATTTAAAAAAGTCTGGAAATAAACAGACCTTTGCGTGAAATAACAATCCAGCATTGACGATTGCTAAACATAAAATGTCTCGAGATATGGACAGGAAATAATGCAGAATCTATTAAGTCAGTCATTTAAAATTTTTTAAATATATATATATATATATATTACAACATATATATAATATTTATTATATATTAATTATTAATATATATATTATAATATTATATATATATTAATATATATAATATTTATATATATATATATATAATATACTACACACACACACACACACACATATATATATATATATATATATATATATATATACATTTACATACATATAATGATAATAACAATTATTATAATTTAAAAATATGCCATATAGTTTTATCGCACGATTGAGTGGTCCGATTACTCCTACAGATTGTAGACTTATTGTATGACCTATTGTATTGCATTATTTTCGATCGGAACTATCGTAACAAAAGGGTTAATAAGATAAAAAATATTGTTATTCACCAATATAACGCGCAGCGGTGAAATTCTAATCACGTTAAAATTTCCAGGTCGCCTTCTTAAATTCGTTCATTGCACAACATTCACGAAAATCAACCGACAATTGTTCACGCCTTCTAATCATCAGAACAAGATAATCGCACAATATTCCCGATGTTAGTTGCAACACGCACTTTATTATAGTACTGTTATATACAAGAATAACGCGAAAGGAATAAAATGATGATTCGTGCTATGATTTAAAGAGAGACTTCTAATTATTGTAAAATATAAAATCAAAATTTGTAATATTGCCGGCAACGTTTAAAATCTCAAATAAAATATACGCTATTAACGTCCGTAATTGATCGATGTATCATAATTTGTCATTATCTAAATCATTCGAACTGAGAATTCCTGATTCTGTCAATTCGAAAAGTAACGAGCAAATTACATTTAAATTAATAAAGTATTCAAAACACAACACGAAACATATACGAATTTAAGTATCATTAAAGAAATTACTTCTTGTATGTAAAACAGATGAAACAATTAACAGATAAAACTCTCATTCTCTATCACTTTGATCGAAACTTAATGAACCGCGCGAAATACGTGCTTAGATAAATAGCCGATACATTTGCAATCGTTAATCGGGAAAGTTAATTAAGCGCGCGAGCCGACAGTTGCTAATTGTTCGAAGAAACTAATCGCATTTCGATGGATAATACAAAGACATGCTTGTGCCATTACCTGCTCGCTGAAGTCTTTCTACGCAAATGACAATACTTATTTTGCGCGACGGCCTTCTGTGGAAGGCCGCGCGTTAACAAAACAAACATCAAGGCCAATTAGCCTTGCCACCGGTAAATATTTAATGTATTTATCATATAACTATTCTGTTTCTTCCTTTTCAATTTAATGATAATAAAATAATCGATATGACCCGATTTCCCATTTCTGACACGACTCGATCTGGCAATTTCTTTGCATTATCTATACAAAAAATAGTAGGTAAATTATATTTAAACAAGACTAAAATTACATCGCCAAGAAAATAATTTCCTTTATATCTGTCTTCACTATGTCTTCCTTGCGTATTTTTTTTAAGTTTTTTAGGCAGAAACGCCATAATAAATGTGAGCGCAAATAGTATACGCTTGTTAAGTTTGTCAAGGGATCGAAGAGAATCATTGAAGTACACACATTCCATATATCAGAACTGTACAAATAAGCCTAAGAAAATGTATGCAGGAATTCTTTAACAATTTATTTTCGGATCTCGCCCTTGAGCGATGGAGAAAAAAAAGTTGCTCTAAAAATACATAGGCGATCGCGGGACTTTTGCTTACAAGCTGTGAAATATCGATCAGCTCGTAATTGCTCATCACGCCTATTCGCTATATACAGATTGCATTTATGCAGCGCATAATCTTGCAGTTTGTGAAATTAAAACTGATTGTTGGGGTGATTTTTAATGCACACATTATGCGGCGCTCTTTCGATCGAATCAGCCGACGCTATCCATCCGCTGCCATTACGGTAAATTGCTGCCTTGTCTTCGCGCATTTATCAAGTTGTCAATTTATATTGACGAACTTTGAAACAGAATCCTTGATAACAAGGAGAGGATGGAACAAGATAAATAGGTTTTATATATATATATATATATCCTGTAAATGTCCGATAAGAAATACTATTAGATAATTAAATTTTCTCGATAGCTAACGATATTACTTTTATAAAATTATATCATTTCTAACTTAATTTTTATGTATTAAATTATCGATTAAAACAATACATTAATTTTATGTGAAAATTTTGTTGTGCTGCACGTTAAATAAGATTATTAATATAAAATCTATATTTATCTTTCTCGTAAGATTATCGACATGTCAATGTTTAACGGCTTTATTTATTTAGCTCCTTTTTCAATTTCTCGTAAAAATACGTGAAATATCAAGTTTACCGGGAGATGTATTAAATTGCCTTTCTTTGTTAATCCTCCCTTACGAAAAGATATCTCAATGTTGCGTGGCTACATCTATCATCGATGACACAAACAGGTCGACTATCAATAGTTGCGTAAGCCGATAAGGTTTTTACAGAAATAAATCATCAGAAAAAGAAAAAATATTATATAAATTAATCATAAATAATATAAATATAAATCCACTAAATTGCACATTCTATTAATTTTCTGTATCTATTTAAAATAATGTTAATTTTCCTTAATAATTTTCCAAGGATGTAATAAATCATAGATTAAGCAAGTTTCTAAAAGTCTCTTTTTTTTATCTTATTTGCCAGATATTATAAAAATTATATAGAAAAGAAGATAAAATAATTATATAAAATCCAAAATATATTACATGTATCATATCATTCAATTAATAATATGTATTAATTAATATATATTAATATATATTAATTAATTAATATATATTAATAATGATTCAATCTATATATATATATATATATATATATATATATATATATATTATTTTATTATAAACGTAAAATAAATATTAAATAACAACACACACACACTACACACACACACACACACACACATCACACATATACAACGCAACGCGCGCCAAAAACACATACATATAAACTTTATTGATTATTTCAAAGTTCGCAAAAATGACAGAAAACTTTTATTCAATTTAATCTGCTCCGTCTACCAACTAATAATATGGTTATAATAAAACATATATATATATATATATATATAAAAAGGGTGTACATTTAAATATATATATACACACATATATACGCTTACCATATATTTGCCTTACTGTGAATTACATAATTTTTGTAAAATAAGTATATATCTTTAAACCAATTAATTTATTTCATTACATTGTGCATAAAAATATAGTAATAGTTATCCAAAAATAAATTATTTATGAGATATTTTATATTATGTGAAAATATATATATTGAATAAAGCATAAAATATCCGATTAATTATAGATTTTTTATATTATATATATTTTAGATTATATTTTAGATTTTAGATTATAGATTTGTAATTTATCTTAATATTTTTGCATATAGGATAATCAAAGAGGAATTAAATAATGCAAAAAATTATATGATTACATTTAAAAAATTAAAGTGAAAACTTTATTAAGAAAAGCTTTATTAGAACATTAAAGAAAAAGCTCGCAAAATCGAAACACACGTCAATTTATAAATCTTTCTAAATGAAAATACTAAAAAAAAAGAATTTGAATTACTTCAGTAGAAATAGAAATTACTTCAGTAGAAATAGAAATAATTAAAGTGATCAAATTATCCATCCTATATGTGTACAGTGATTAATAAAAACCATATTATCTTTCAATTGGTAGACGGAGCACATTAAATTGGATAAAAGTTTTCTGTCATTTTGCGAACTTTGAAATAATCAATAAAGTTATATATGTATGTGTTTTGTGTGTGTGTGTGCGCGCGCGCGCGCGCGCGCGCGCGTGTGTGTGTGTGTGTGTGTGTGTGTGTGTGTGTGCGTGCGTGCGTGTGTGTGTGGTGTGTCAAAAATCTTTTTAAACAGTTTCACATATTTTTAAGAATATAGTTACGCCCAGAGAAAAAGTTTCTTAGATTCAACAAAAATTTGTTCGAATTAAAGAAATTTATGCATTGTTATACAGTCAAAGAAAATCTTTTTTGATTTGAAGAAATTTCTTGATTGTTCCTTTTTATTGAGATTAAAGAAATAGTTTGTGCAACGAAAATCTTTTTTTAAAAAATAAAATATATTTTTTATATGTAACAAAAAATTTCTTTACATCATATTAAAAAAAAATTTTTTAGTTTATGATTATATATGAACAGATTAAAATATGCATACTTATAACGACAAAATTATGGTTGCGTTTCGATATTGACTGCTAATATTGAAAATCTATAATATACGTGATCTATAAGTGAAAAAAATGAGAGAAAGTAATGAAATATCTTTTATCTCGTATCATCGCATGTTTCCTAAACCGGTCATCCATCTTATTTGAATCCTGCTCGATGCTCGCTTCACTTCTGTTATTGGGATGGAATCTGCTACTGAAATGATGAAATAAGTGAATACAGCATTTTAGCTTAAAATATGATAGAGATTTAATTAATGAATGTTACTATATTGTATAAATATAGTCTCAATTTTAAAATCTCGATTGCATATGTAATTCTTATAGATAATTTAATTACATATATAGAGCCGTGAATCTATTATGTTTAATAATAATCATTATTTTTATGAAAATTGTTTATAAATTGTTGTATATATTTTATTTATTTGTTTATAAATGTGTTAATAATTGTATTAAATATGGGAAATATTTTTTCTTATTTAGTTGTAGTTATATTATAATTAATTAATAAACATAGTAATTAATAATGTTATTTCATTATTTATTCATTAAAAATGACTTAAAAATTATGATTAAATGACGATATATCTATGACAATAACATTTTGTGACAAATGTTACGTTTATTTTACGTTATTATTTATATCTGATATGATATAATTATATATAATTAGATATAAACTTTTGTTTCGTGTAATTAAAAAATTTCATCACACACTTTTTTATCAAACGTTGCGATTAAATTGAAAATTAATAAAATAATCAATATCGCGTTGCATGTTCTTTGTTTACGATTAGTGTCGTTGAAAACACTCACTGAAAAAATTTTCATAAATCACGTAAAAATCACAGTATATGGAATTATGTTCTCTCAAAATATTTTGAGAAAGCACAACAAGAATAGTTTAGAAATCGCTTGATCAAACGCGAGAGAACATTAACCGCTTCTCGCGATCCTTTTCAAGTTACGAATCATCTGCGTGATTAACCAAAAATATGACTGCACAGAAATACGTATATACTTTTGCGCAGTCGTGAGCCTTTAGCGTATATAATTAAAAAAATCTTTTATTTCATTAAAGAAATAATTTTCTTGGTTTAAAATAACCACAACAACTAAATTATTTTTTACATTTCTGTCAATATTTTTCTCGAATTAAACAATTATTTATTTTATTTAAATAATTTGAACAAATAATTTATTTATCTTAAAAAAGGCTAATAACGTCATTTCTTGAAATCAAATAAATTTTCAACTTAAATTTTTAACTTAATTATTACGCGAACTTGATTAATTTTAAATTAATCAAGTTAAAGAAATTTTTTCAATTTAAATATAATTTTTCTCTGGGTGTAGTTAAAATAATAAGAAATCTTATCAAAATAGAAACTTTTACTTTATATAAAGAAATAAATCGAAAATACGAATTAAACTTTTTAATAGAAAGATTTGTTTTCCAGAAAAACAACTTTAAATATTGTATTTGTTAGATACGGTGTGCACTTTACACATATTTATGATTATAACAATATTAATCAAGGAATACTTTCAAGGGATAGGAAAAAAATTTTTTCTTTAGTTTTTTCTATAAAAGTTATAAAATTTGTGAAATATGTGATATTGTTGTATGTAAAAAGTTTTAATTATCTATTGTATGAACAATGAAAAAAATTTATAATATAAATATATATTATAAATATAACATAAAAATAAATAATTATCATATAAATTATTGCAACATTCATATAATTGAAGAGGAAATATGAAAACTCAAATTCTGTATTCTATATCAATATAAATAATTATCCAACAGTAGAATTTCACAAATCGTTTAGCAACACGTATGAGTAAACGTTAAAAGTCGAAAAGAGGTTGATGCCCATGTACATACTCGAGTAAATGTGAGCGGCTGTGCAAAATGGCAACGGTTCCCGCTGGGTTCAACATGAACGCTTGGAATTCGCTGGTGTTCGACATGCGTCGAGACAAGGCGGAGTTAGCAGGGGGTTCACAGCTGCGCAGTCTATGGGGGGTTAGTGTTCTCTCCCACCCGTCAACTGTTGCAGCCCCTGTTAAAGTACCAGAAGCATTTCGTTATCACTGATTCTTTTTTCTCGTTCTTTCTTCTCTAATCTGAATCCTCTGTGACCGGTCTTCGTAAATGTGCAATAAACTCGTCTTTCCCATAAAGGATTTAATTCATAATACATAATTTATATCAACAATAAAATAAATATGTTATATCATGTATATTGCGTACTTGCATAATGTAGATGCATTAAATTCAAATACAATATTAAATTATAATTATTTTAAATCATATATAACAGCGAGTATCTTTATGTTTATTAACATTAAATTAAGAATAAAGAAGGAAATAATAATTAATCCCTAATTAATTTTGATAATTGTCTATGTTTGTATGCAAATATTCGTGTATAATCAGGAATGCCGTCGTTGGATAACATATTAAATTAGTAGAATTTGTTGACTTATATATTTGTTGACTTATATTGTTGTAAACTTTTGTCATCGTAAGTGTGATATAAATAACTAATATTAAAGCAACTAATTAAACTCACAATTCTCCTTTTCGCGAACTTGAATATTATGCTGCATCATGTATTATGCTGCATCGTTATGTCATATTCATTTTCAATATGCACATTCTTTGTCGATACTAATTTGATAATTCAAGCTCATCACATTCTGTAATCGGTCGTCAATAATCAATAATTGCGTCAAATAACGAATGTAAAAAACGAGAAAGCAATCGTCTTACTATTTCATGGCTAATTTAAATTATTCTATGTGCCCATGATTTTCGTCATGTACGTTTTCACATGGAACCCGCAAATGAAATTGAGCTGGAAAACATTCTGTAATACCACAAAAATAATATAATTAAATTACATGTATAGCATTTTTTTAATTTTTAAAATATAATTTCAAAGAGCTTCTTGAACACTTGAAAATTCAAATCTAATCAAAATTTAGGATAATTCTAATAATGATATTATAATATGATTTATTAATTTTATACTCCATATAAAATTTGTGTTTTCATTATAGTTATTACATGCACTTCCATTGAGGTGGTCTTCTGCTCGCGTTTCCAGTCATCTTCACCAAGCCATAGAGACGATAAACAAAAAAGGGGTTTTGGCGCGATGCACTCGTATACAAATGCACGGGGGGGGGGCGTCCGTTACTTCCGCTCTTGCTATTCAATTGCGATCTCGATTTTCAAAGGAATAATGAACCATAAACCCGATACTCCGAGCACGAGAGACGTCGTTACAAAGGTGAACCAGGGACTGGTGCCGGAAGTCTCGCGTGCCATTTGCCTTGTATGATATACTTGTACACGTCTTCGAGAATCATGAAGATGAATAGGAAACTCCTTGAGTGGCGCGTGCCTGTTGCCACCAGTGCGGATCAGGAGACAACATAAGATCTGAGAGAAAAACAATCAGCTAGTTTCAGACTTTCATTATAGCAAGCTATTATTTTTTGCATAAATCGATATAAATGTAAATGTATAAAATCAGCATATATGTATCTATAATTCGGACTGTATTATAATTTATTTTTATATTTAAGACTTACCTTAAGTACAAATTTGAAATATTTCTCAATCACAAAACCGTGTTAACATCTTAAGATATTACTTAAAATAATCTTGAAATAAGAATGGACCATGAGTATTGGCTTAAAGTAATTTGTTTAAGTAACAACATGCTCTTTATAAAACAATATTCCTAAAATAACAAGTATTTTTAGACTAACTTAAATGATTTCATCTCAATTGGAATTACTATATTCAGCAATCACGAAATATATTTATATTTAACATTTTGAGATTACGCACATGCGTGTGCGCATGTACGCACGCACGCACGCACATAATTTAATTTTTAATTCTTAAGTTATAATATTATATTTTTTTGTATTCTAATCTCATTTTATAAATTTCTAGAATTTTATTGTTTTATTTTCCATAAAGTTTACTGCTAATAAAAGGAATTAACTGTACCGTTATAAAAAATAAACAATATTTTTATAACATCTTTTATTATTCATTCTAATAAAACGCAAGAATTTAAAATGAACTCGTAATCCTTTGTTTCATGATGGACGAGAGGATAAAGGGCAAGTAGTCAGAACTCGATTGAAAGCAAGTTGAATCGAGGATACTTCAATCTTGGAAGGTGTTTGATGATCGATTTGGGTGATCGTAGGCACTCTCAATAACGCAGCTTGATTGCTGAGGAGTGTGTTACTGGCGGATTTGATGTGCTTATCAATAGATCACCAATGTAATAGGTTACATGTTCACACTCAGCATATAATGGATATCTGATAAGGAAGCAATAGTTGTGATATTTGTGTGTTACTAATATTCATTTCAGCTTTAATTATTAAATATGTTATTGTGTAATTTTGAAAATACAAAATTATTTCACAAATAAAATTGATCTCATAAAATAACAAAATATTGTTTTACTTTTTGACAATCAAATAGTATAATATTAAGGGATTACTTTTATGAAAAGCAAATATTATTATTATGAATTATAAAAATGTGAAAATTAATAAATATTAAATAGTTTTAATAAAATAAAAATAATGTTTTAAAATATTATATTAAATTCATGTAAACGAAATTGCAAAATTTTAAGAAGAAATTAATTATTGTATTATTTATTTATTAAATGTATTTATAAAATGTATTTATAAATGTATTTAAATTATTTTAAATAATAATTATGAGATTTATATTATTTAAAATTAAAATTATTTAAAATCCCTTTCAATTAAATTTTAGAAAATATGTTAAATGAATTTGTATCATAAACCTTAACTTTTTTAAAATATCCATCGAAATTTTTATCAAAATATTATAAAATATTTAATTACTTTCGAAACATTTTTAAAAGACTCTAATTATTGTCTCGATAGTACTTCGACATCTATGGATATTTAATCTCTTACTTTTTTCTGATAAGTATCGGGCGAAACCAATGAAGAAAAGTGCTGGAAAGAGCTGGTCTGATGATTGCCATCTGCCACCCCCAATCCCCATGGATTTTTGCCGTTAGTTTCAAAAGCTTGGAACTCCCGCGAATGGCTTGGACGGCTCAATGCCTTAACCGTCCTTCTAACCACGCCTGAGAAACTACCCTTACTACGACGATGTTATTCTATCGAAAACCGTCGCACGATGCTTTTCATACAAGATTATATAGGATATTGCACATTAAATGTCATAATTTAATCCTCGTGTTGTTTATGTTGTCAGTTGAAACCGAAAAAATTCTACAAAAATAATTAGAACGGAAATATACTCGTATATGGAAAACCGTTATGAACAAATCGACATCTGTCACAAAACTGGAAAGTTATTTAAATTTTTATACTAAAGCGATATTTTTATTTTGTTAACCTTTTTATTTTAAATTGCAAATATTAAAAGATTGTTAATCTATAATTTTACAATTTTAAGTTTTTTGTAAATCATCGAATTTCAGCACCTATATTGTTAACTATTATTTCCGGCGTGTTCACGATTTGACTTAGATGAAACCGTAAATCGGTGTCAAATTGTCGGGCAAATAGAAGGCGGGGACGAATTGACGAGCAACATAAAAAAGCTTTATGTACAGCGTATGGCTCCTTGATCGTTCCCCCAATACAGATCTCAGTCAAGGCGAAGGCAGCTGGCTCGTTTTGTGAATTCCATTTGAATAATTCCCGGTCGTCGTGGCGCGTGCCACCAAAACCGTATATACCTTTCCTTGAATCCTCACGTCAGATTGGTCTTTCCTTCAGTATCGCAATTTCCATTGGTCTGTGTCATGAGAAACACGTGGCCGGATGTCGGTGTATATATTCCATATCCAACATTTCCATTCATCTCGATAGAATAATACCACTTCGCCTCATGCTGCAATTCTATCTTCTTCGATCGATATTCCTTTATTTATTTTAGGGATCTTTATAATTTCATGCAAAGATGTATATCTTTAAAATTGTAATTCCTTTAATGCAGGCACATTGATTTTTTTGTTATTTGTGACTGTTTGTACGAATTTCAAGAATTTTATATTATATCATCTTAAAGTATATTAAAGGTTATATGGTTTTACTTAAAGCGATTTGTTTAAAATAAAAAAAATTTACTTATTTTTCTTTATAATAATTTTTATTACACACACACACACACACACACACACACACACAACAAATGCGCGCAAATAGACAAAATAAACAAAGATTCGAAAATCTTTATAACTCTTTTTTTTCTAAGGATTAAATTTAATAGTGATTTCACGAAGAAGAGATTTACGAAGTAAGCAGAGTATGCCTATAATCCAAGTGACCACTCGACAATTTATGTGATAAATAGCGGAGGGTGGATGAAGGGGATGTGGTTTACGTCGACAGAGGTGAAAAGTTTATTTAAGACCAAATCATCCTTCGTCGATTAAGGTAAGAGAGGGTGCATGTATGGTGTGACGCTGAGATTGCTGGATAAGGGGGTGAAAGAGTGGATGGATTGGTACGTGTTATTGCTTGTATTGTGGTGCGACCCCTCGAGCAATCGGTAGGGGTTGGTTTTAGTCGGCAAACTCTCCCCGGAGATTTCAAACTTCTCGGTTGCCCTTAAACGGAATGGCAGGATACGAATTTAGGTGGTGGCAGCTACTTATCGACCAAGTAGAGACAATGCTATCCCAAGTATATAAATCTTACATTACATAAATAAGAATCTCCTATCATCATAATATGAATATTAGAAAATATTTTAAAACAATAACATACTTTAACAAAAAAAAACGCGGCAGAACAAAAAACGAATCATTTCCCTTTTTTGGACGATGAATATAAATCCGGTTTACAAATTGCTTTATCACATTACAATTTCGAAAAATTTGCAATTGAAGTTGCAAAAAAGAATTATTTTCACTTATGTTATCATATTATAATTATAACATGTGACGTATTGGAGAAGTTTATTGTAATTTTTATTGCAATAAAAATTATATTGTTAGGACTTTCAACTCTGAAAAGAAATTATTTATATCGGCTTGGTTAATAAAATATTTGTGATTAAATATGAAGTTCATTGCAAGAAAGTTGTGAATTAGATTATTAATAATTTATCAAATAACTTTCATTTATGTTTATTTAAACTTGAAGAACTTTTACATTGCAAAATATAAAGCTGATGTCAAAATTGACGAATTTAAAATGGTAGATTAAACATATCGAATTTAAAAAATATCCGGTTTATTCATATTGAATCTATTATTTTGAATTTATCAATTTTGATATTACGTTCCTATTCAGCGATGTAAAAATCCCTTAAATTTCAATAAATATGATTAAAAGCTATTTGATAAATCATCACTGATCTAATTCATAGCTTTTCCGTAATATATTATAACTATAAATACTTTATAACTATGATATCTTATTAATCACAGTCAACACACAGAGTTTTTCTTGAAAGTTAAAAATCTTAATGACATATTTAATTCTGATTGCAATAAAACTTTCTCAGCACATATTGTAATTATAATATAATATAATATGTGAAAACAGCTTTTTTAGGTAACTTTAATTGTAAATTTTTCGAAACTGTAACGTGATAGAGCAAATCAGATTTTGAAAATCAAATTTGTATTTAGCGTCTAAAAAACTACGGGAAATAAATAATCTTTAATGTTCAAAAAAGTCATTTTTTGCTAAACAGTATAATAAAAATATAATATAAAAATGTAATATAAAATATAATAAATATATTATAATAACAAAATAATACAAAAATGTATGAAAAATTTACATGATTTGATTATCGTAAAATCATATGTTAATCATATGTCATTTGAAGTATTTAGAGTATTTTATAATTCGCAAATCATAGTAGAAAAGTCGAATATTTTATTTTGCATATTTTATTTAGCAATTTTATAATAATCAGAAAATAATAAAGAAAATTACACAAATTGCACAAATAAGTGTATATTTGTGCAATTGTTGTTATTTAAAATTACATTATTAAGATTACATTATTAAGATTACATTATTAAGATTACATTATTAAGATTTACATACTTCAAATTCTCATTTCTC